AAAGGGGAAACAGAGACAGAATCGGACAGTCTCTTGAGAATAAAGACAAAGCTTCAGGGAGGCAAAGGCAGCTATAGATCACAGGACAGCACAGAAGTGAGATCCACACAGAGAACTGTAGACTCTCTCTCTCTCTCTCCTCAAGTCTTGGGTAGGTGCATGTGAGGGAACTACTGAGGACGGAAAAAGAATCATCTAAAAGGAGCAAATGGTTTGAGCAGGCAATTCGCAAAGCTCATACGAGGTAAAAACAGTTTTGTTTTCAGACTGGAAATCCTCTTTAATGCATGAGGCTTTAGGCAGAGTATTCAGAAAGGTATTAGACAGTTGTGCAAAACTGCTCTGGATCCAACTGAGCTTCAAATGAGCTTCGAAAGAATGAAACTGTCTCCAAGTAATTTGCCTGCATCCTAGAATAAAGTTCAAAAATATTTATGGAAATACAAAAATATCTAGCACCCAAAAACATAATTTCCATAAAAGTCTGGAAACTAGCAAAAAATTACCAGACATGGAAAAACGCAAGGATATGACCCACAATAAAGAGGAAAAAAAAAAAATCAATGAATGGAACAAACCCAGAAATGACAGATATTATAGGATTAGCAGATAAGATACTAAAACAGTAGTTCCCTTGATCAGAATACACTCCAAGACCTTCAGTGGATGCTAGAAACAGAGTACAGAACTCTCTCTATATTGTGTTTCTTCAATCTGATAACTTAGACAGCTACTGAGTGACTTATGGGTAGGTAGCACACACTGCATGGATGTGCTAGACAAAGGAATGATTCATGTTCCAGGCAGGATGGAGCAGAATAGCGTTAAGATTTCATCATGCTACTCAGAACAATGTGCAATTTAACCTTTATGTGTTGTTTATTTCTGGAATTTTCCATTCAACAATGTTGGACCATATATGACCTTGGGTAACTGATACCACAGAAAGCAAAACCATGGATAAGAGGACTGCTGTATGTTCAAGAAGGCAGAAGAGGACCAGTCAAGTCGTGTGGTGGTTAACGCGGCTGAATTTCACAGGCCCAGTGTGTGACTTGAGTCCTGGACCTAGCGACTCAGAAAATACACCAGGTGCATGTGTGTGCGTGCTCAAAATCCTGAGAGAAGAATGGACGAGAAGGGATCATGGTGTGTCATCTCCCCTGGGGGGTGATTTCTCACTTTCTCTCTGTATCTCTCTGGCAAGTGTGTGTACCATATAACAAAAAAAAAAAAAAAAAAAAAAAAAAAAAAAAAAAAAAAATTAAGGTAGAAGAAAACTTTAGTGTGTTAAGTAGAGATGTAGATAATAGAAAAATATTTTCCCACACCTAAATTAAACTTACAGAGAAGAAAAATAGTGAGTCATTGGAAAAGTCATGATGCATTTTTGCATAGAAAAACATAGAAAAATATGTCATGACTTTTCTGACAACCCAATACAATGTCTAAAATAAAAACCACATAGATAACAGCAGATTACACACCAGAAAAGAAAGCAAACTTGAGGTCGAAGCAATAGAAACAATCAGGTGTGAGGTCAGCAGGTGGCATGGTGTTTAAGGTGTTGAATTCCCACATGTTAGACTATGGTCTGAGTCCCAGACCTGGCAGCTTGAAAGGCACACCAGGTGTGTATCTGAGTGTGCCCAAAATCCCAGGAAGAAAATGGGGAAGACACTGCAGCATGGCTATCCCTCCAGGGTTGATTTCTCCTTTTACTTCTCTCTCAGGTGAGCACATGTGCCCTATGGCAAAAACTTTAAAAAAAAAAAAAAAAAAAAAAAAGAGAGAGAGAGAGAGAGAGAGAGAGAGAGAGGAAATGATTAAATGAAAAAGTTATTGAGGACAAAAACTGAAAAAGAGGGAACATAGCATAAGTGAGCTGAAGAATAAGACCAGAGTAGCCTAAAATACAAATAACAACAGAGTAGCCTAAAATAATCAGATTTTCCAGGAGGTGAGGGAAGACAGAAAAAATCCTGAAAAAATTATGGCCAAAATTTTTGCAAATTTGACTACAACTATAAACCCATAAATCCAAAAAGCACTGTAGGCCACCAGCAAAAGGAATATAAAGGACACTGTAACAAAACACAAGAGGGACCAGCAGGTGGCGTGGTGATTAAGGTGCTGGACACTCCCACATGGCTGACCAAGGTTTGAGTCCTGGACCTGGTGGCCTGCTTTCTCACCTTCTCACTCTCTCTCTCTGGCCAAACTTAAAGATAATAAATGAATGAATAAATAAAATTAATAAATAATTCTCTTAAAAAAAAAAAAAAAACACAAGATCACTGAGCTACCTAAAACCAATGAAATGCAGAAAATTAGAAAGATTCAATTGCCTCTCCTTCCAAAAAAGAGATTATATAAAGAGAAACAAAGCTAAAAAACACAGCAGACTTCTCTTTGGAACCGACACAAACTTTAAGACACTGTAGCAACATCTTTAAAGCACTAAAAGAAACGAAATTCCTTATCCAGTGCAAATTCCTTTCAAAAGGAAGGTAAAGGAAAACCTTTGAAACACACAATTAATTGTGAGCAGACCTACCCTACAAGCTTGGATTTATCCAAATGGAACCGTACTCCAGCAGGGCTGATAAGGGACATTTCTCTGGTTCTCTACCTCCCACTATTTTTTAAAAGATTTATTTATTTATTTATTTTTAAAATTTACTATAGGGTATGTGTACTCACCTGAAAGAGACAGAGAAAGTGAGAAAGCAAGCCACCAGGTCCAGGACTAGAACAGTACTCAGCCACATGGGAGTCCAGCTTCCCAACCACTATGCCACCTCCTAGCCCTCTACCTCCCACTTTTACACTCTTACTATCAGCTTATCTGACAATTGTGTAAGCTCTTAATATACTAAAATCCTTAATCCATAATATTCATAGTAGTTTTTTCAGACTGAACACTGATTGGTAAACCACGTATTTCAGACAAAACTTTCTGCCCCTATCTATAGACACCTCCTCTGTTTCTCTCTCACCTCCTTCCCTGACATTAGAAAAGACATCTCTTGGGGACCAGCAGGTGGCATGGTGGTTAAGGTGCTGGACACTCCCACATGGCCAACCACGGTTCGAGTTCTGGACCTGGCGGCTTCCTTTCTCCATTTCCCCCTCTCTCTCGCTCTGTGTCTCTCTCTGGTCAAATTAAAATAAATGAATGAATAAATAAAATTAAATAAATAATAATTAAAAAAAAAAAGACATCTCTTTTAAAAAGAGTTATACTTGAGGACCAGCAGTTAGCGTAATGTCACTGGACTCCCATGTAGTCGACCGTGGTTCGTGTCCCGGACCCGGTGGCTTAAAACTCAACTCACGCCGGGCGTGTGTGCGTGCGTGCCCAAGATCCTGAGAGGAGAATGGAAGAAAAGGGATTGTGGTGTGGCCATCCTCCCTGGGGGGTGATTTCTCGCTTTCTGTCTCTTTGTCTCTCTCTCTCTGGCGAGCACATGCACCCTATAGCAAAAAAC